GATATATAGATGTGCTATTAGTGAGTCAGATAACTACGGTCACAGCCCAAGTGTGGGCATCAGTACCGGTACAATCTCGGGACACTTTTTATTACCACACGAACATCCTAGGTCGTAGAGAGGTTACGGATGAGATTCGTCGCTTTCAGATAGACTGAGTTCGCGAATATTGATAAAAACTGCTTGCTTGCAGTTTTTCGATTTTATTAACGTACCATTTTCTAAAATAAAAACACCTGCCAAGAAAAGTTGTTAAAGCGTTGACATTGTAAGTTTTTGACGGGATAAACGATAGAGCCACTCTGATAAAAAATAAGCGAATCTCCTACGAATTTCAATATCGATGAAATACGACATTACTCTTAATTTGTTAAGCGGATTTTAGGTTACTCAAAAAACATTGAACGGAACGGTCAATGGTGGGCTGAGTTACAATGGCCCACTTATATATACAACTGTTACTTAAACTGATGATGTTGGTGATGTTTATGTGTGACCTTTGACCCAGTTATACACGTTATTGTATAGTTATTACTTGTTTGTAGATTAAATCGAATTGAATGTTTAAAAGAAATGATTAAGCAGGTGAGTTCGGTATAGCTGGCTGCTCACTACGCTACTGTTGTCGAAAACTTAGGGGTTAGGTTTTCCTTTAGTGAAGAGAACGTTAGTGAGAGTAACCTCTTCTAGGATGTGCGTTTAAGGTATTATACGATTGTCATTAGGATCTGATGCCTATCGTATTTCATAGTTTGTCATAACTCTTACACAACGCCATAGGTCTTTGGTAACCTGCGGAAATCCGCGTAATTTAACAATTCTATATAAATCATCACGGATACAAGGTAAAGAAAGACACGCTATCGGAATACCTCCCGTTCACCTCAGTATTTTTGGTGTGTTTTAATGACTTTCCTACTGCTGTAAGAAACTACACTGTGATAGGTGTGATTGCATTTAAAAACAAACAACAAGTTTCTGGTTTGTCCGCTGAAAGAACATTTAGAAGTTTTATACTGAATGATAATGCACACGAGATGTCGGATTGGTAAGTAAGACTAAATGGAGTGTAGTATTGAAGGTGTGGTCGGTGACATGGTAAACGAACAGTTGTGTATTGTGTAAAGGATATTTTGATTGGTTTGATATAAAACGATATTGTTAGTTACTGTTAGACTCTGTTGTGTTATTCGAGCTAGCCAAAAGATGTTGAGTAGTTGGTGACAGAACAGTAAAACATTTTGAACTATGAAAGAAATGTTTGTTAAAACAACAGATAACGTTTTGAACTAGTAAACTTGTTGAATGGTCTCGTAGATGAACAGTTACTCGTTTTGATCTGTAAAGAACAGTTACTCGTTTTGATCTGTAAAGAACAGATACTCGTTTTGATATGTAAAAAACAGTTACTCGTTTTGATCTGTAAAAGAGGTGTTGAGTGGTCTGGTAAAAGCAAGGCTGGGATCAGTGAGACGGTCGTAAATATACAGGATATTTTTGACGTTCTTGCTAATATACAGTTAAAATGTCAATAAGATTTAAGGTGTATATATACTTTACTGTAATAGGTCTCTAACGTAAACTCTCGACACAGTTTAATGATGCCACCAATAAGATGATATTTAAGATAGAGTTTAATTATTGGGACTATCTGGTTTATATGTATATTTTCCGTAAGTAAGAACATGCTGGTTATTAGTGTGCAACCTTTTAGTACAGGATATCTAATGTATCTTAATAAACAGTATCCGATACCTGTTATTAGTAGGCTATACCAATGTTTACACAAATCAACGGTTTACTTGTGGAGCTTTGTGGTAGCTTATATACATTATGATGATAATCTGATACACCTCCTTCCTTATACGACTATGCTAACAGTGCAGACTGTCACAGGTATGACGTGACAATTCTGGTCATTTAAGGACACACCACAATCTATATCACACTGAGAGTAAGAGGACAGACCAACACTCCATATCACACCAAAGGTAAGCGGACAGACCAACATTCCATATCACAACAAAGGTAAGCGCACAGACCAAAACTCCATATCACACTAAAGGTAAGCGGACAGACCAACTCTCCATATCACAACAAAGGTAAGCGCACAGACCAACACTCCATATCACACCAAAGGTAAGCGGACAGACCAACACTCCATATCACAACAAAGGTAAGCGCACAGACCAAAACTCCATATCACAACAAAGGTAAGCGAACAGACCAACACTCCATATCACACCGAAAGTAAGCCGACAGACAATCGCTCGATGTCACTCCGAAGGTTAGCAGACAGACCAACGCTCAATGCCACACTGAGAGTAAGCCGACATACCAAAATTCCATGTCACACCTAGAGTAAGCATACAGACCAACACTCCATGTCACACAGAAGGTAAACAGACAGACCTACACTCCGTGTCACACCGGGAGTAAGCAGACAGACTTGCACTCCATGTCACACCGGGAGTAAGCAGACAGACAAACGCTCAATGTCACTCCGAAAGTAAGCAGACAGACTTACACTCCATGTCATACCGAAAGTAAGCAGACATACCAACACTCCATGTCACACCGAGAGTAAGTAGACATACCAACACTCCATGTCACACCGAGAGTAAGCAGACAGACCAACACTCCATGTCACACCGAGAGTAAGTAGACAGACCAACACTCCATGTCACACCGAGAGTAAGCAGACAGACCAACACTCCATGTCACACCGAGAGTAAGCAGACAGACCAACACTCCATGTCACACCGAGAGTAAGCAGACAGACCAACACTCCATGTCACACCGAGAGTAAGCAGACAGACCAACACTCCATGTCACACCGAGAGTAAGCAGACAGACCAACACTCCATGTCACACCGAGAGTAAGCAGACAGACCAACACTCCATGTCACACCGAGAGTAAGCAGACAGACCAACACTCCATGTCACACCGAGAGTAAGCAGACAGACCAACACTCCATGTCACACCGAGAGTAAGCAGACAGACCAACACTCCATGTCACACCGAGAGTAAGCAGACAGACCAACACTCCATGTCACACCGAGAGTAAGCAGACAGACCAACACTCCATGTCACACCGAGAGTAAGCAGACAGACCAACACTCCATGTCACACCGAGAGTAAGCAGACAGACCAACACTCCATGTCACACCGAGAGTAAGCAGACAGACCAACACTCCATGTCACACCGAGAGTAAGCAGACAGACCAACACTCCATGTCACACCGAGAGTAAGCAGACAGACCAACACTCCATGTCACACCGAGAGTAAGCAGACAGACCAACACTCCATGTCACACCGAGAGTAAGCAGACAGACCAACACTCCATGTCACACCGAGAGTAAGCAGACAGACCAACACTCCATGTCACACCGAGAGTAAGCAGACAGACCAACACTCCATGTCACACCGAGAGTAAGCAGACAGACCAACACTCCATGTCACACCGAAAGTAAGCAAACAGACAAACACTCCATGTCACACAGAGAGTAAGCAGACAGACCAACACTCCATGTCACACCGAGAGTAAGCAGACAGACCAACACTCTATGTCACACCGAAAGTAATTATACAGACCACATCTATAGCCTCAAAATTCGGGCATTCTTTTCATGGGATTATGTTTTTGAGATATGAGGCCTATTCCTACAGATCGATCAGGTTTTCTCAGTGAGTAATTTGATAGTGTGATTAATATGCAAATGTATGTTAATTGGGTGTTGCAAGGTGGTAAGATAAGTATAAATAGTATCGTCAGATAAATGTGTGATTCTGTGGTGTTCAAAGTGGTAAGGTAAATATAAATAGTATCGTCAGATAAATGTGTGATTCTGTGGTGTTCAAAGTGGTAAAGTAAGTATAAATGGTATCGTCAGATAAATGTGTGATTCTGTGGTGTTCAAGGTGTAGGATAATGACACTTTGAAGTACTAAGTCTCACGAGAAAATGATATACTTCTGCTGTTTTTATGGGACTAACGTTTGATGATCGTTAGTTCTATAGTACAGTCATACACATGGATGTAATCTTCTGTACGTAATCACACGATAACCATCACAGGTGGTAGACATTGTGAAGACCTGTGATCGGAGCCATACATAACCACGATTGGCCAATTAATTCTTATCACGATTATAACCGAAGATTCGGCAATATCATGCTGTATTTACAATGTACTTTATATCATCACGTGTATAATTACTATAATAGGGCCAGGGTTTGAACAATTTATATCCTTCTACGTATTGTTCTTTTAAAATCCATAATTATTTTGAAGTGTTGTGTTAAACTACGAATACAAAAATACAATTTAGAAAATACACCTAGTATGTAATGTCGCCACGTGGTGCGATTGTTTACCAACAATCTGCTAGTTTGATTGATACATTGTCATCAATGCGTCCATTATTGGCTGCCGACATATCAACTGACACCAGCAGTCTCTAGTGTATTATTTGTATACAATCATCGCTTTGCAAGGAATTAAGAAGTATTTAATGAGCCATTAAGGAATTCAATGGGAAGTATTGACAAGTTTGTATTGGGCGTCATTGTCTAATTTGACCTTTCACCTATGAAGCGTGGTGGCGCTGTTTCGTATGTGTGTATTGGCTATAGCAGTATTGTCTGCGGGACGTTTTATCTCGACCCTAAACACCTCTCATTTACACAGTCCCTATCGACAGTCTACCGAAGTACATATTGATACGTCGCTTCCCTTGGTCTACTTTGCTATATGGAGATTTTAATAGCGAGAGCAATTAATGTTTTGGCTAAAATGTGATTCGTGAGAAATGTGTATGATGTTGGCTACATATTTATAGCATGCTTATAGATTTAAAAACAAGAAACAGTGAAGAACAGGTATTCTTAAAAGACGACGGAATTATTTCATATTATTTTATTTTTATACCAACAGGTTGTTCCCGTGTGAAATAGATATATGATTCAGTTTATATTCCACGTGTTATCAGATGTAATTACGGAAACATCACTCGGACGTCTTACGGGATAATTCACTGTATTCAAGTCGGATTCGACACACACACAAACAGGTAAGTCAATAATCCGTGTGATCCTCATGGTTAACTAGACAACACGATCCGCGTATTTAAAAGGATAAAAAATGATTTCATATCATATAATATTTAATAAAATTTCACCTGTCCGTATCAGAGATCTCTGGGATATAGAACTCTTCACAATAGTGGTTGAAGTTTAGGGCTCGTTTGAAATAATGTGAACATGTATCAAATAACATTATAACACATTAATTGGAGATGACACTATGTTAACCAGCGATAATACATCAAGTCTGGAAGTCGGAGTAATACATAACACATATAATCAAATAAAACTGAGTTATACCTGCATGCAAACTGTTAGGAGGTGTGGTTAGGGAGAAATAGACCATTTTTAAGTCTACCAAAAGTATGGACGTGTATGATATGTTATGAACCTGGTGTGATCAAACACAATATCAAGAAAACTAAATTTCCAAGTATCCATGTCGAATCGTAGTGTACAACGTATTAGAGAAACTTAATACAGACCAAAACAATGTGAACCTGATTCAATTATACTCATTTTGAAATATATATGCATGGAAACGTCGACTTTATGTCATACAAAAAAATCGGATATGTACACACACTATGAAAAGATTATCCCATGTAAGGAAAAACGACAGAAATAATTATCATACTTGGTGGGAAATCATTAACCTTGTCAAAATGTCTATTGTTGACGTTAGTGTTTTAATGTTGTCATCTGACCTCGGATGTTAATGACTAGTAATATCTATATACATACTTTGTTGCCCTTTAACGTTTGATAGAAGTATACGTCAATTAAAAATCAACACAACTGTCAATTCATTGCAGGAATTTTCTTTTAACAGTTATAATTCAATCACACTATGATAGACATGACCTTAGCTACAACACCTAAACTATACCCGTAAGACATTGAATGTAACTTGTGTAATCTCGGCGACTCAAATAACAGTTGCGTGTTCGGACAGTAATACATGGAATAACCGTAGTATGAAGTACTGTGTGAGATTATACTTACATTTAATCCAGAAATCGGGTTTAGTTTAAGGCATGGTTTGATTTGTTCTATAAAAGCACAGGTCAATTATATACATTTAATCTTATAACCCACAAATAGTATTACAAAATGTATATATTTAACTTGATGCCTCGTAGCATTTCCAGATTTCTACCAGATAGTTGGAGATCTGTATTACTTTAAGTCACAGATATACGACATTTTACCATTGATAGGTAGGTATCTGGTGTATTGTCAGCAGTTTGTGGTCGGACACAATACAGGTAATGTTGATGCAACAGTTATTTAGATTTTAATGGAACACTACGCACATTCCTTACTGACATTGCCAATAAGACTAATGCCGATTTAACGATCGGCGAGGATTGGTAGGCGTATTCATTGTAACAGGATATACCGAGATTAAACCTTTATTCCAGTTTCATCTGACACGTTGGGTGACTACAAAAGCCAAAAACTGTGATGTGAATCGGGGGCTTAATAGTAAAAACAAGACGCGGACAGGGTACAACCGTAACACGATTTCCAATGGGTATGAGAATCACAAAAAATCAATTATATTCTTTATAACAGACAATTGAACACTCAAGTATGATGTTATTAATATAAGATCTAAATGCATACAGATTTTAGATAAATAATTATAGATTATGGATGCTGATGAATAAAGACGAATATTTCCTTTTTGGATAACAAGAAGCTGACTATGCTATGCATTCTCGGGTTGAGAATATGTAATATTATTATATGGTGTGGCTACAGTATTATCATTGTAAACCACCTTAAAAATTTCGGTATACGCCCAACGCCGTACGTTTGTATTACTTTGTACACGGAGTTATAGAGAAATGACTGTGGTCGTATACACGAGCTTGTTACCTCTTTTTCTCGCTAACCTATCATTCACTGATCACTCTCAGCATTTTAAACATACTGGATACATTACATTGTTACAATATACATTGCATCTGAAACGAATTGCAAATATCAATACCGTATAAATTGGCTATTTTAGCGGTAGCGTCATATTCGCGATATTTGCTGTGTTAAGAATCTACACATTTTTCAGAACAAAAAACCTTTTTCAGTACAGTAAGATTTACTACGTGCCAAGCGATGTCATTACTGCGAATTTTACACAACAAAAATCAATTCCAGAAATTCAACAAAGTCCTAGCCACAAATTCTATACAACAGCAAACAATTCTAGTACCGCAAAACATACATGTACCCAGCAATGTACTAGCCACAAATTCTATACAACAGCAAACAATTCTAGTACCGCAAAACATACATGTACCCAGCAATGTCCTAGCCACAAATTCTATATAACAGCAAACAATTCTAGTACCGCAAAACATAAATGTACCCAGCAATGTAATAACCACACATTCTGCACAAAAGCAAACAATTCCAGCAACGTAAGGTATACCTGGAAATGTCAAAGCTGTAAATCCACACAACCGTGACCCCTTATTTATAACGTAAAATTAACACTCGGACAAGTCAATGCTCTATTGTGCATATACACTAACTTCACATAATCCTATTATAGATGTTGGTAGCAGATATCCTTGATTAGCAACCAACGTCAATCATTGCGGTGATATCTATGTAACTTATTACTTTACATGTTATGATTGTTACAGCGGAGCGTGGATAGAGTCAATTATCTGGCGCAAGATTATATATTTTCTTTAGCCTGTGTTATCGGGAGTGGACTCTGCTATTAATCTTTTAATTTTTTCTTCCTTATTTATGAATCTTTGCTGAATGAATAAAGATGTTTGGCGTAGATAAGAATCTGGGAGGTAAGAGGATTTAAATTACATAGCAGCGTTGTTCTCTATTAAGCTCGCCAACGATAAGTGAACAATCCCAAGTTTCCTTTGAAATATTATGCTACAATGTTAAGTAAAAGTATGATAAATTGATAAAGAACCGTTTATGACTGTTAACTCAGATTGATAAATTGCATCGTCTGCTAAAGCGTCTATCCAATTAAAAACCTAATTTATTCCGACAAAAATCAATTGATTGTGGATTAAAGTAGATTTGTATCGGGTCGGGTGACAGGCGGTGTAATGTTAAGTATCAAACCCCCTTTTCTATCTCCGAATTCCTTTGATTGACTACTATGTGGGTATATTTAAGTAACATTCCGATAACCACAGCCATTTGATAAAAGTTAAGGCACACATAGCGTGATGTATACGTGTTTGTGATTGAGACTTCCCCCTGTCAAATTGGCCTGTATTTGTTTGTTTGTGATATTCGTCCTGTCAGTTTGACAGCCGCTATAACTACTTACAATAGACGGTAGATAGGAACTGCCTATGTCTACGCTAGTGTAACGTAGGTATAGCCACGAAGTTTTACATTATGACAAAATGCTGTACATTTGAAAGGTAGGAATTATTTTTGATCATCCACAGAAAGATAAAACAAGTAAAATGTATTATCTAATTTAAAAAACTTCATAACTGCCTATTGTACATGTTTGTTTGTGGTGTGTGTGTAAGGTTCATCGTCCATCATCACTCTCCTAACTGCAATACATTTCATCATTCTATAATTGTTATGAGTTTCATTGCTATACGTGTGTCGTTCCCGTAACTAACTGCTATATGTTTCAATACTTCCATAACTGTTCTATGTTTCATCACTCCATAACTGCTCTATGTTTCAATACTTCAATGATTGCTATAGGTTTCATCACTCCATAACTGATCTATGTTTCAATACTTCAATAACTGCTATATGTTTCAATATTTCAATAATTGCTATAGGTTTCATCACTCCATAACTGCTCTATGTTTCAATACTTTAATGATTGCTATAGGTTTCATCACTCCATAACTGATCTATGTTTCAATACTTCAATAACTGCTATAGGTTTCATCACTCCATAACTGCTTTATGTTTTAATACTTCAATAATTGCTATAGGTTTCCATACTTCCATAACTTATACATGTTTCATTACTTCCATAACTGTTGTAGGTTTCATCACTCCATACCTGCTATATGTTTCAATACTTCAATAATTGCTATAGGTTTCCATACTTCCATAACTTATACATGTTTCATTACTTCCATAACTGCTGTAGATGTCATCACTCCATACCTGCTATATGTTTCAATGCTTCAATAACAGCTATATGATTCATTACTATATACCTGCTATAAATTTCACCACTCTGATAACTGCTGAAGGTTTCATCACTCCCATAATTGCTGAAGGTTTCATCACTCCCATAACTGCTGAAGGTTTCAATACTTTCAAAACTGCATAATACTTTATTACTCTCTCTATATATAATTACCTGCTGTAGAATTCACCACTCTCGTAGCTACTAGGTTTCATCACTTTATAACTTATATATTGTTTCTACTCTCAAAACTGTTTTCATCACATCTGTAACTCAACCATTTACAGTTCTTCATGAAGAATGTTTAGGTACTTGAAATGGAATAACCTCTCTCATAATATACTATCGAGGATGATTGTTTGTTAAAACCATACATCATATGTCTGGTTTAACACTTGTCTGCAATTATCCTGTCATAAAAATTGATATATGTTTGAGTGAAAATATGATATATTTTTTTATTAATGAGAAGTAACACAGCTAATCTAGTGTGAATGTTAGTGTTGCACATGCCATCAAAATGTCAAGAGTAAATAAGTAAATCTTGCACCAAACCTTGTTGGTAACACATAGCTGTTTTATCCCAGCATGCTATTTAAATATTAAATTATGTCCGAAGATTTCAAAACGAGTCAACCTTTCAACATTTCTGACTACTATTTGGTTTTGGAGGCATCGTTTTACAAGCACTATGCTACCCTGGTAATGCAGCTTAGCATTAATGCTGATCAATTAGAAGCTGTCCTAGAGAGTAGTGGTCGGGTGGGTATACGTATTGTTATTATATAGCGTATATTATACAAAAGCATATTAGTATTATTTAACGTACTT